GTATGTATGTATGTATGTATGACAGGGTGGGCATCAATGTCGTGAACAATGCACCGCTGCTGCACTATGGTAAAGCGGGCTGCTCAAAGATGGAAGGAGGTCGCCGAATCTCGCTTTGTGCTTAAGGCGCTGTGGAGCATTTATGCTTTGCTGATCGAGGAACAGATGCCTCGGCTGTGTTTCATGTACCTGTGACAGATGTTGCGCATGGTGAGGATGTTGTGGTCCTGATGCCAAGCATCTTGGGCTATGCTTGCTCCTTTTTCCAGGCTAGGCATTGCCTAGTTCAGTCCCGGCTTGGTGTGAAGCTGGGCAGTACTGGCAAACACGACTTTTAAATTGCAGGTGCTACTTATTCTGTGGCCATGGCCTTAAAAGCCGAGATTTGACTGGAACATGGCAGTCAGATTGAAGCAGTTCTGGAGGTGTCGCAACCGTCTACCGTCGCGACCTCTCACGAAGATGTAGTTCATGTGCGGGTATAGGAAGTCTAGGACCTCTTTAGAGGTTCGACCTGAGCTTCCTGCTCGCGATCATTCAGAAGGCCAAGCCGCGGCCCTGCACTCAAAACGAGTCGCTGCCGCTTCGCCGCTCTGCAGCAGGGCCGCTCTGCTGGGCCGTTTTGTGAGCTCAGGGCCTCGGAAGCGGAGCCGAGCACTCCGGAGAGCGACCATCTGGCCGAAGCTTCCGAAGAACAGGCCCGCCGGGCTTTGCTTTTCTTCTTTTCAACGCCTTGATTGTTGTGAAGGATGGAAATGAAGACTGGCTATGATGTCTTCAGTCTCGGCCAGATGCAACTTACAGCCATCGCTCAGAATGGGAGCAACGTACAGCTTTGAACTATGCATCTGAGCTTCTCAAGTTGCAGCTTTAGAGGCATCTGCCATGAGCTGTCGCCGGCCGCAAAGGGCTTTTTGCGTTCTGTTCCATTTCCCCTCTCCGAGCCCTCATCCTCTTTGAATGCTTCTCGCAAACCGCAAGTTGAGAGCAGCCACGGACGTAGAGCAGAAGACTCGAAGGAGTCAAGGGTTGCGGTTGGGGCAGATGTTTGTCCGAAGAAAGGAAAGATCTTCAGGCTTGTCAAGATTCTTGCCTTCGAAGTGGTCGTCTTGTGCATCACCGAAGCGTTGCACGCATGAGTGCAGATGGTTCCATGATTGCTTGTCTCGGACCTCGGAGACGCAACTAAGAAGCAGCCAATTATAATGAGCATCACTTGTTTTCCTTCCTCAACACCTTCGTAGCGAGGGCAGAGAGTCTCCCAGATTCGCAGCCTCGGGGCTTTCAGTGTGGACTGAATGTTTCATAGGAGCCAAATGTGTCTGGAGAGCTGCGCAGCTCTCCATTTGTTTTGGCTCCGACAGGAATTAGGTCTTCCCTTTTCATTGCTGTTCCGTGCTTCGGACTGCAGCACTAGAAGTCTACACAGCTTTATAATGCATACTCCTTCTGCCCGTAGACGCCAGCAGTCTTTTGTAGTTGCCCTCGCAGCGCCCAGTATATTCAGAGAAGCAGATCAATGGCTTACTTATGGCTGTCCGGTCATGGATGGATTGAAACGACAGCTTGGGTCAGATGCTTGGACTTCTCCTGTGCATGGATTAAACTTTTGGTTGTTTTGAGACTAAATTTGCTGACTATCCATGCTCACGTTTGTTTTTGCCAATTCTGCCAGGCCTTTTGATTTCCACTTCGACCTCCTTCTTCCCGGAAACACCAGTCTGAGGCTGGTGTAAGCTAGGAGGATCATGTTCAGATTCGGCACGGCCCGTGACTTTAGCTCGTGGGAGGTGTGCAAGGCTGAAGGCAGGAAGACGAATGATCTGCTTTCGTCAGGTTTCCGTGGGAAGCTTCGAACGAGGCGCAAGATGTGAAGTGCTCCATCGTCGAGGTCTGCACCACAGACACTGCAGACAGTCTTCTTGCTTGTAGTATGCCAGCAACACGAAGGCCCCGCCGGACGAGCCACGCAAAGCGCCGCAAAAAGCAGGCACAGCTGCAGCAGGACAGGTTATGTCGAGTTGGAATCTTGGGAGTAACCAGCTCTGAGAGGTCACCATCTCTGCAGAGAACCGTCATGCGTCCCGTCCAGGCTATCCAGGGCTCGAGCGAGGATTCTTGTGCAAGCCAGGCAAGAAAGGCCGGGAGATGTAGGGAGTTAGAGCTGGATCCTAACCTGCCCGAGAGACCCGTGCGCACGCAAAGAGGAGCGAGTGCCCGGAACCTCTTGTTGCGGTTCTTTGGACAGTCTACAGGAAGCCAGACTGTATACAGTCTATTCGGTTTTGAGCACATCTATTTCAGCTGATGCCACAATGTCTGTTCATTGCACCGGTCAAGGTGGTGCACTCCTTCCCGCAGACCCTGTATAAGAAGAGCTCCAACACTGCAGCAAGGAAGTGCAATGAATATACAAAGAAGTGCCACGTCACTTAGCCAGCCTAGGGCATGACAGTACAGCACAGAACAGGACAGCACAGTACAGCCTAGTATATATACTACATAGGCTCGAGCAGCAGGACGATCCCGGCCCGGGAAAGCCCAGGCCTGGAAATCAGGCTAGCGAGCCAACTGCGCTCTGCGCAAGCAGCAGTCCACATTTCACTTTCTACAGCCTTCGGGGTTACACAGCTACATGCCATAGTGGCACTCTATTTCACACCCTAGCCTCATCGGCGCTTCTTCTTGTGTTGAATTGTTGGGTTTTGAGTTTTCCACTTTTTCCGCCTTAGGGCAAGTTTTGCTAGTACTTACGTTAGGTAGCACTCACCATAGCCATGGAGACGACGCCGGCGCCCGCGAGCGCCATGGCCTCCGCTGATTCGGTGCCTTCTGTTGAAACTCCGCATCCCCCGGGTATCGAGCAACCATTGGCAGCACCACCAGTACCCCGTGTAATCCAAGACACCCTCATCGGCCCTACTATGAGCCTCCAGGTGTACGATAACGATACCTACGTCCTTCGCTCAGGCACTGAGGCTCAAACCATAACTAAACAGATGTACGAAGGATTGCTTCAGTCTCACCAACAGAAAGTTCAGTCGCAGATTTCTATATCTTCCAACATAACAGGTTTACGATCCGTCAAATCTGACGACGATGAACCCCCTCCTGGGGGGACATGGATCCCGAATTAGTGCAGAGGCTCCAAGCAGACCCCGAAGCAATGAAGGTTTTCATGGCAACCAGACGCCCAAGGAAAGAAGCCCGCCTCGACCCCAGCCTAGGACAATTAATTCTCTATGACCACTGACGTACCTCTCCCCCAAGCCCCTTCGAGCTCCACGCAACCTGCTGAGATAGGAAAGGAAACCATCAAGGAGGCCTTCCAAGAGTACCACTCTACCGTAGTGGGACCAGCTTTAGCTGAGATTCACTCGCATGTTGCCAATAACATTGCACCCCAAATTCGTACTCTAGAAACCAACAACATTACACAGCAGATACTCCCATCAAAATTGAGCGTGACCTCTCCTTAACAGAAAGACTCGAAAGCCAACCCCTCTACGCTTTAGTTGATTCGTTGACCAAGGCTCCTACCTCAGATGGTACGCCGCTCATCTCCAGTTATCTAAAAATAGATTACAACAGCCTGCAAGCCTACAACACTGACAACGATGAGCTTGTCGCAATGGTTATCTATCTTCCCTCACGCAATACATCGGTATGTCAAATTGCAATTCAGCCCCAACATAGGACACACGTATTGGAGACATTCCCAAGAACTTTCCAAGACCGTATGATAACCACTCTTAAATTCCTGCAAGCCTATCAGACTGCAGCTCGCCACAGCACTACCACACTTCGGTTTCACTACTCCCAGACCCAAGACCTGTCCAATGTTACCCCAGAACAAGTTATACAACTTTTCCCTTACGAAATCTTCCCAATGGAGCTTACCCCGGACCTCCTTCAGACCCTAGCTAAGAACCCATCACATCTCCTTGCCTCGATGACAGGGATGCAACCTATCATCCAACAAGTTATGATGGACCAGGGACTGGACCACTCCTCCTTCGGGAAAACCGGAAAGGGTCGAAGCAAGGATAAGGGCGAAGGCAAAGGGAAGCAACGTACTAAAACAACATGGGATTCGAAAGGCAAAGGTAAAGGTGACTCCTATGAAAGGCGAAAAGGAAAGGGTACCGATCAATGGTCCTCCTATGTTCCCACTACCCAAGCCGATCGATCGAAACCCCAATATTCGCAACAGCAAAATGACGATCCTTGGCCCAAGGCAGCTTACGGTACAGACTCGCGCTCCCGACGAGCTACTGGTGGACGTGATTACTCCAGCGAATCTGAGATGATTATTCCATGTGCGGGTTGTATGAACTTATTGGGTACAAATTCAGATTGTGATGATTGTTTAGCCCCCGCGGGTGTTAACAACCTGCAGAAATTGCAGAACTCCTTGCGGTACGCCCATCTAGAGCCTTTCGCCCAGAACGTTACCCCAGGGTTTGCGTGCCCCCTCATTCGCGCAAAAGACCAGCGCTGTAATGCTAGCACATCTCTGTATGGCAAAGGGGATTGTTCCGGATGCGTTGCATGGGTACAATGGGCCGCACGTTATTATGGACCCCGCTGTCAAGACTCCTTAAACCCCGTACGTCATGCGCTGCTTCTAGGCTATGAGAGACTCATGTTACATACCATGCAGACCCACCCCGCACTCTACATTGACGCTCTCTCTAACTCCCTCAGAGCCATTCATGGTAGACATGATCTCCCTGATGCATTTACAGAATGGTTTACGGAAGCTCTGTACCCAGACCCGAACGACCCACTAAAGGTACTCCCATGGCCCAAAATTCAAACAGTTTTTCAAATGCCTGCAGACAAGTATTTCCTCAACCCTGACCCGTGGTTCCATAACCTTGGTTACACAGTGAAAGTCTGCAACATACAGGAATCCAGCTATCTGCTCACCGTCCTGCTAGAATCCTACGAAGCTATCCCGTATGAAGTTATCTCCCGAGCACAACTCCCCGACCCAAACCTTCAACCAGAGCTCGGGGTCGACTACGACTCCCTCATCACCCTGGATCTTGCGCCATGGGTTTCTCTTGTTCGCAGAAGTTACTCATTTGCCCTGAAAGAACATGGGATTTCAGAAGTAGCATGGTCTACAAAGATTCTTGAAGAGCTGGCTTATAGTTTCCTGTCTGATGCTAGCGAATACCTCGTCGATCAATATGCCGACTCCTTTCTACAAGCACTTGACGATAACCCAGTCTTAGAATCAGTTTTTATGGGAAACGCTCCTTACACCAATGAAGATCTTAAGAAACTCGCTGGGGCAGGAAGTTGCTTCTTCGACACCCTATATTACCAGGTGACAGCAATGCACCGCCTCCAGACCACCAAGAATCAACACCTCCCGGCTCCCAATGACCCTCTAGGTACATTGTATGACCTGATTGTAGCTAGAGCCCCTGACATGTCAGAGATAGGTTCTCAAAAGCAGCATCTCCTCGATCGCCACTGGAACAATAAAGGCAACAGTATGGAAGCACTTGCACTCCTGTTGGTAAAAAGAGGTTACCATGATATGATTTTAACACAGGCCTGGTTGGTTCTCCAGCTTCGATACGAAAAAGAATCATACCCCTGGATAGCAGACCGGCTTACCCCCTGACTATCCCTGCTGCCCAGGTGCATTCAGCTGAAGCTCTTTGACACAGTCGATACCAGCCGCCTTGGTCCTCTAAACACCTCTCTTGTGATAGTTAACAAATCCAGTTGCCCAAAGCCCCCTCCAGACCTTCA